TCTGCATGAATGTCTGTGTGAGAGTGTCAGAGCCTCCGGAACTGGAGTTGCATACAGTTGTGAGCTGCCATTGGGTGCTGGGAATTGAACCTGGGTCCTCTGATCAGCTAGTGCTGTTAACTGCTGAGTCATCTCTCCAGCCCACAACAAGAAAACTTTTAATGCTATGGTGAAAATAAAACTGCCATATATTACAGGTCATGGTGATGCACACCTTTAATCTCAGCACTCAGGAGGCAGAGGCAGGTGGATCTCTAGAAGTTCAAGATCAGCCTGGTCTACATAGTGAGTTCCAGGACAACCAGGTTTATGTAGAGCTTGTATCAAAAATAAATAAACAAACAAACAAAAAACTGCCTTCTGTTTGGCAGTGTCTTTGAATGCCTCAGGACACCTTCTGACCACTCCACACCTTTGCATCCTCCACATCCTGCAGCAGCTATGGTAACACTAGTCAGTCACAGGATGGACCTCTATCCTAAGCCTAGGCGGATACCTGAGGGCAAAGGCTGTCTGGCTACCCACACTGTCTGTCTCCTAATGGCCTGACAATTCTCAGACACTGAAAGAATGTATTGTATTCAAGTAGGTAAAAGGCAAAGCAGAAAAGGGAGCAGGGCGAGCCTCAGAGCCAGGCCCCAGCCGCACACTTTCAACTGTCTTCCTCACAGTGCCATGAAGGGAGCTGCCAGTGTTCCTGAGATGTCTCACAAATAGGGAAACAGGCTGCTCAAACTGTGCGGCCAAGAGGCTGCCAGGCAGGATTCCAGGGCAGGTCTGTACCCCGAGGCCGCACTTTGAACTGCACACCAGCCGCTGCAAAGGAAGGAGTCTCTAGAGCTTCAGAGGGCTCTGTCTGTTTAAACAGGGTCTTATGTGTCCTTGGCTTTAACCCCTAGGTCTTACCGATGACCCTGAACTTCTGATTTTCCTGCCACCCTCTCCTGACTATTGGGATTACATGCCTATACAAGCGTGCCCAGTTTTTGCAGTACTGAGGATCAAACCCAGGGGCTTGTGCACATTAGGCAAACATTTGATCAAGTGAAGTACAACCCCAGCCCTAGAGAGCAGGGATTTTGTTTATTTGTTTGCTTGTTTGTTGTCTGATGTGCTGAGGCAGGACCTGGCTCTGTGACCCAGGCTACCTTCACACTGGTACTCTCCCTGCCTCAACCTCCTGGATGCTGGGTTTATAGGCATCTACCACCAACCAACCCAACTTCACAAGTTCATTTTACATTCAGGGTCAATAGCACCAAAGACTGTTGAAAGGGATGGGAGCACCGGGGAGAGATAGGGAAATAGCTTTAAAAAGAACCTCAACTCCTTGGATGAGGTGGAGGGGAAGTGAAGGAAAAGTGACAATGGGCCAGGGTGTCTGGGAGGGCAAGCTGTGTCTTATGTGTCTTCTGGATGTGTTCCCTGGTCCTAAATTAGCCTGGTTTTGGTACATCCTCAGTTACTAGCCACCCCTGCCTTTCTTTTTCCCTGGGCCCTGGCAAACAGTCTAGGACAGATAATTCTAAATTCCTCAACCCCATCTCTAAGGGACACGGAGCTGCTATCACTAGGGAAGAGGACGGGGTAAGGACATTGCTGTTGGCTTCTTGGACTTACTGGGTTCTAGGAAGTAAGGGAATAACATCTAGGTGTGAGCACAGCCATGAGAAGGGCCTGGAGCCATCCCAGCATGAGAGCCTATCTCAAAATAAGAATTAAAAATACCCTTGCCTGGTGTGGTGGTGCATACCTTTAATCCCAGCACTTAGAAGGCAGAGTCAGGTGGATCTCTAAGTCTGCAGTGACCAGGAAGAGCTACATAGTGAGAGCCTGTATCAATTAATACTGATAATAATCTTGAATATACATATAATTTTACCATTGATTGAAGACGAGCTGGGGCTACAGCTTAAGTCAGACGAATAATTGTGTAGCATGTACAAAAAGGCCCTGGATTCTCTTCCCCAGCTCTATACAGATCTGGTGGCCCAGCCCTGTAATCCCTGCTTTTGGAAGGCAGAATCAGGAGAACCAGATTCAGGGTCATCCTTGACTATATCGTTTCCAACCAAATAGGGCCTTAGGATGGGTGTCTCTTTTGTTTTAGTTTTTTTGTTTTTGTTTTGTTTTTTGAGACAGAGTTTCTATGTGTTAACAGCCCTAGACATCCTGGATCTCATTTTGTAGACCAGGCTGGCCTTGAACTCAAAGATCTGTTTCTGCATCCCTGAGATTGAAGGTGTACACCACCACACCTGGCTGCTTTTTTTGTTTGCTTTTGAGTCAAGTTCTTGTGTGGGCCCGGCTGGCCTGATGTTTGCTATGTGAACTAAGCTGGTATCCAGTTTCCAGCAATCCTTCTGCCCAAGCCACCCAACTGCTGGAATTATACACATTAGGCCTTTTCATTGTTGGTTATTGTTTTATTTGTTTAATACAGCATCTCACTCTTGCAGCCCTGACTGGCCTGGGGCTCACTGTGTAGCCAAGGCTGGTCTCAGACTTGTGGTAGTCTTCCTGCTTCAGCCTTCCTGAGTGCTGAGATTATAGACATGAACCATGTCCAGCTAAAGAGATCCCTCTAGCTGTGCTAAAACACCATGACCAAAGTAATTTAAGATTGAGCTTATTTGGGTTTACTGTTCCAGAGGGTTAAAAGCCATGATGGTGGGGTAGAGGTGGCAGGCAGCAGACATGGTGGCTGGAGCAAGAAATTGAGAGCTTACGTCTTGATCCCCAAACACAAAGAGAGCCAGGCACTGGGCGGTGGTGATGCACACCTTTAATCCCAACACTTGGGAGGCAGAGGCAGGTGGGTCTCTGTGAGTTCGAGACCAGCCTGATCTACAGAGGGAGTTCCAGGACAGGCTCCAAAACCACAGAGAAACCCGGTCTCGAAAAACAAAAACAAGTCAGCAGTGGAAATGGTGCCTGTGCCTGCCCTCTATGACACACTCCTCCAACACGGTCACACCTCCTAAATGTACCCAAACAGCACCACCAACTGGGAACCAAGTATTCCGAGTATTCAAACTTCTCAACTCTCACTTACGCCATCACATCCGCTAGTACTCCGCACCTTGTGCCACCTTCAAGAATAAGGAGCACTATTCCTCACCTATGACTGCCCCCCAGCTGACTGTGGGCCTCCCACTGTGCTAAGGGCTAAAAGGCCCAACTGAGATCCTGCTTTAGGTTAAAGGGCCCTAGTTGTTTCTACGGCTCCCTCTTCCCTATACAGGACACTAAGAAGAAATGCCAGGCCTTGAGGATGGGCAGGGGAGCTGGTCCCTAGCTCTGATATATGCTTTATGGTTTCCATGTCTGATATTGACCAGAATGACGAGAGGCAGATTCGGCTGGCTCAAGATACCACTGGACAGTCTGGTAAAACAACAGATGTCCTTTCTTCTTTTTCTGTTTTGTTTTGTTTTTTGTTTTTTGTTTTTTTTTGAGACACAGTTTCTCTGTGATGCTTTGGTGTCTGTCCTGGAACTAGCTCTTGTAGACCAGGCTGGCCTCAAAGTCACAGATCTGCCTGCCTCTGCCTCCCGAGTGCTGGGATTAAGGGCGTGCACCACCACCCAGCCACCAGGTGTCCTTTACTTGTTTATGAAAGGCTTGGGCCCAGGAGATGCTGAGGCCAGTGTCACGGAAAAGTGCCTTTACTGTTCCTGCCCTCAGGCACCTCCCCAAGCACCTGACTTAGAACTCTGACTCTCCAGTCTTCTCTTAGCTCGGACTCTCCTTGGCATGTTGAATGGCACACACCCACAGGAGGCTGGCGGAAAGGGCCTGCACTGGTCTTGTCTTTAGACTCTGTGACTCTCATTGAGGGTGAGGGAAATTGGGCCTTCCTACATCCACAGGAAACTGACTCCATAGCTGGTGACAGCAGGAGACACCAGGATGGTTTCAGGATATACCTAATATATCCTGGCCAAACCCAGGAGGTGGAGGGCAGGGCTTGGCTTACTGTTAGAAAAGAGCTGGTCTAGGAACCTGAGCAGACAAAGGGGGGAGGGGAGGCAGCGACTCAGGGTCCTGGAGGTGTTTGGTCTTCCTGGGGCACAGCTGTCACCAGGAATCCTGAAGTGGCTGGACACGGCTATCAACGAGGTATAAGTGCAGGGGAGCCAACTGCGTCTGCTTCTGCCCCTGCAGGCACAGCTGTCTGGCCTGGCACCCTGGGATCCAAAAGCCTCAAGATGCTGGTGTAGCCATCTGGGACTTGGACTCAGGAGACCGACAATTAACCCCTTCAGGCCTGTAATGGTGATCAAATCCACATCCTCATATGGAACAATGCTCCCAGCTTTGAGAGGAACCACAGGGCTGGCACCACGGTTCTCTTCATTGTGGACGGAACCCTGCCGTATCCTTCCCCTGGTGTGTCCAGGTGTACCCAGTATCCTCACCTGCCAGGGACCTCAGTGACTTGTCCTTCACCTACCACTACACCTGACCAAGAGTATGGTGAAGACAGTCCCTCCTCAGTCCACAAGAAGTTCTGAACTCCAGTTCCCAGGACCACTTCCTGCCTCTGAGCCTCTGCCAGGCAGGAGCCCAGCCTAGGGAAGCAGCTCTAAATTCTCCCAGACATGCTGCAGAGATCTGGCGGGGCTAACCCTTCCTTTGGGCCTCTTTCTCTGTGAAGAGACTTCAGAATCCTCGCTGAAGACTTTGATGAGGACTACTCTTGAGTATTGTAGCAAACACAGGGACAAAGCTCACCCTTCCTCTTACACAGGGGACTGAATTCATGGCTGGGTGTTGATGCCCAGTCAGAGCCTGGCTCAGGGCCTGCTCCAGGATGCCAAGCAGCCAGCATTCTGAACATCCCTGACCTCACCCCACAACTTCTGGGAAATGGCACAAATATGTACACTTAGACTCCATTTACCCATGGCTTCCTTCTCAGAAAGGGGGTGGGGCCAGCACAGTCCATGTGCCTCCCAAAAGCAATGCATAAAACCCACTGCTCATGGCACACAGCATCTGAACAAAGTGTCTTTTATTAATGACATACAAATAAAACTGATACAAAAGGAGACATTTTCCCTCTTTGATTCCAGTGATAAGAAGCTGCTAGGAAAAAAATACATAAAACAAGAAACTTATCTTCCAACTTTCCTCTAAAAAACAAAAAACCCTCCAGAGAGTTAAAAAGAACCACACACATTTAACAGCAACAAAAATAACCTGAAATGGGACAGGCTCACTAAAACAAAAACCTTTTTAAAACATTTTAACACGTCCCAAACAAAAAACAAAAGAGCCTGGTACAGCAGGCTAGACCTTCTGTTTCTTGAAATCATAAGGGTGGAAGATGATGTAAGCCTGATAAACCATTGGACTTAACACCCACAGATCTGCTGGTCTTGGCCAGCATCCCTCTGGTCCAGTGAGAGATCCTGAAGGGTCCCCTTTGAGATGTGGTCTGCAGAGGGTGAGGAGCAGGGCAGGCACTCAGCACCACAAGCACCCTGGTGCCAGGTGTCCAGTGACTGGAGACAAGACACTCACCACACATGGGATTTATACTGGGGGTTCCTTTTGGTCCCCCTAAGTGTGAGGCATCAAAAATTCATGATCTAAGACAGATGAGGATCAGGGAGTAACTCTTCCAAGCATGTTCCTGTTTCCTGATTCTTGGAAGGAGCCTACCATCCCATCTGGGCAGCTTCAACTCTCACCAGGGGATAGTCCCCAGAAGCTAGTAGGCCAGGCAAAGGTAGACCTATTCCAGTGTAAAGCTCCAAGGCCCTCTCCAAGGCAAGGCTGACAGGCCTAAGAACAACACAGGGTGCTCACAGAGTACAGACCATGGCAAAAAAGGACCCTCCATGCCCAGGCTACCATGCAAGCAAGGATATGAGTGAGAGGTGACTGCTCTGGGAAGACCCGCCAAGACAGACAGAGTCAGGCAGGGGGTGAGCTGAGCAGACTCTGAGGTCAGGAAGGGTCTCAGAGCAACTGCACAAAGGCAAATTCTTTGCCATGCCTCAAGGCAAAACTCAGGGATGGCAATGGGGAAGCGGCAAGTGTGTTTTCCTAGGTGAAGATTTGGTTTTGCTTCCTTGGAAAAACATAACCCAGAGATCAGGATGAGTTCAAGTTCTAAGCCTACATTCTCTTCATCCTCTGAAGAGGAAGGCCTTCTCCTGGCCCTAGCCTGCCACTGTACGATTACAGCAATGACAGAAAGCAGTGGTAAGCCACTGAAAGGCATTCCTGAGTATCCCAGTGGGCCAGGACAGTGGCACAAGTGCCTCATTGAGGCAGTGAGGGACGGGGCTGGGGAGAACAGGCAAAGAGGCCTGCTGCTGGCTGGGGCTCCTCAGACAGGGAGGATGGGGGTGTAACCCACCTTCAGAGAGCAATCAGCACCAAGAGTAGGAGAAAACGGTATCAACTATACCAGGAAGGAAGGGTCCTTCTGGGGAAGAAGAGGGGTTCCCTGCTGTTACTTCTCTTGAGATTAAGAACAGAGGTATCTGGGCTGAAGAGAGAGGTGTGTGAACAGGCGGGACTGAGTCAAGATCATGAGAAATGCAGCAAAATTCAAAGGCCCAGAGATGCTGCATCCCTAGGGCAAACACCTAAGAGACTGGCAGCTCTTCCTGGCCTTCTCTGCCTTACTGACCGTGATGGAGACACAATCTCCTCCTGAAGTTGGCTTTGGCTGGTCCTGAGATTCCACCCTGTGGATCTATAAGAACACAGCACAAACCCCTGCATCTTGACATCAAAGAGCTACATGGTCTCCAGGAGAGCACTTGGTCCCCAGAGTAAAAATGTCCAAGGGCAGTTGTGTGCCCAGATCTGCATCCAATCCTTCCTGGGAACCAGCAGACTCCAGGTCTTTCACAAAGGTGGGGATAAACATTCCATCTGTCCATACGGGGCATGGTGTGGGGCCCTGTCAGGAATTCAGCTGTAGACAAGTGGGAACCTTCCATTTTAGGGTCCCAAGAGCTAAGCAAGGAGGCAGCCACTGTACAAGGATGGGCTCAGTGGCCAACCTGTCATCCTTCTCACAGCACCCTCTCCCTGTGGCCCCTCCTGGCACTCTGCTTTTCCAGGAGAGAGTGGAAAGGCAGCTGGGGTCACTGCTCCCCAGGATTCTGTGCTCTCAGGGTATGCCTGGCTTATGCAGGGCTAAGGCACCCACAGTTCTGGGGGTACCTGGCAAGTAGCTTAAGACCAGGGAAGAGGACAGGCCTAAGGAGAGTGACTTCACTTGCAAATGGTTCTGGGAGTTCAGTGACAGCAGCCACCACAGTGCCCACCTGTGTGGGAATGCTGACTATCCCCAAACTTGGTCCTCCGGCTCAGGATCTCGTAAGAACAGTCCTCCCCACAGCAACCAGACATGCTGGGGGAAGAGTCATCGATTTCAAACCTACAAGACAGACAGGAGGAAAGAGCTGGCAGCTGGTTTTGCACATGAGCCGAGAATTTCTGCAGCAGTTCTGAGACCCTTGGAATGAGGCAAAGGGACCAAGTCAGAGGGCACTGGCACACCATCTCACAAACCCCAAATCCCACAGATCACTGACAGGATCAGCATGAAGACAAGCAGGCACCTGGGACCAGCAGAGGGAGCACCCTAACCACCCAGAAGGACCACGCCAGAGCCGCGCTCCTTACTGAAGTGCCTCTCGGAAGAACTGATAGGCGCCATGGTTGTGTTTAAAGACAGTTAGCATCACTTTCTTCATCTGTGTGCTGGAAGGGAGCAGAGAACACCTTTTAGAAACTGAATCAAGGGTCTAGAGAAATGGCTCAGCAGTGAAGAAAGAACACTTCTGTTCTTCCGGAGGACTGGAGTTCATTTCCCAGCCACAGGATGGCTCACACCTACCTACCTGCAATTCAAGATCTAGAGTATCCCACACCCTCTGGCTTCTCCAGGCACAGTACTCACATGGCAGGCATGCACATACACATAAAAATATGTAAAATAAAAAAAAAACTAAATACACACACATTTTATTTTTTAACCTAAGAGTGGTCTATCCGTATGTATGCCTTTATGCCGGAAGAGGGCATCAGATCCCACTAGAGATGGTTATAAACCACCATATGGTTGCCGGGAATTGAACTCAGGACCTCTGGAAGAGCAGCCAGTGCTCTTAACAGCTGAGCTATCTCTTTAGCCCCAAGACATATCTTGTTTTAAAACAAAACAAAACAAAACAAAACAAAAACAAAAACAAAAACATAAGGTTTGGAGAAATGTCTCAGAGGTTAGGAACACTGGTTGCTCTTGCAGAAGACCGGAGTTTTTTTTTTTTTTGTTGTTTGTTTGGTTTTGGTTTTTTCGAGACAGGGTTTCTCTGTGGCTTTGGAGCCTGTCCTGGAACTAGCTCTGTAGACCAGGCTGGTCTCAAACTCACAGAGATCCGCCTGCCTCTGCCTCCCGAGTATTGGGATTAAAGGCGTGCGCCACCATCGCCCGGCAAGACCTGGGGTTTAATCTTTAGCCCTGACACAGTGGTGCATAGCCATCTTTAACCCTAGGTCCAAGGAATCTGATGCCCTCTTTGGGCCTTCAAAAGGTACCAAGTACAAACATGATGCATATACAAACACACAGGAAAAAACACCCATACACTCATAAAAGTAAAAAACAAGCTGTCACTCAGCGTTAGTGTAAGCCTTTAATCCCAGCACTTGGGAGGCAGAGGCAAGTGGCTCTCTGAGTTTCAGGCCAGCCTGGACTACAGAGTGAGATCCGTGAAGCCAGGGCTACCCAGATAAAACCCTGTCCCAGACAACAACAAAGCGAATCAATCAATGCATCAATCAATACAGAACAGAGACTAAGGTCAGGCCTCCTCTCTCTTCCTTACATTTTGCCCCAAAAGGAGTCCTCCAGTCCCTCCTCCAGCCTGCAGAGGTCTTGGCCCCCTTGGCACCGAGTCCCTCCCACCACTGCAGGTTGGCCAGAGTGCCCCAGTGTCAGGGATCTGTCCCACCTGCCCTCTAACCTAGAGGTGTAATAAAGCAGGCCAGCTTTCTGACGGGTCTAGATACATTTTTCCTCCTCAGTGGTCCCCTTGATGCAGCTCTTACCCCACAGCTGTGCGGCAGCCCTTACCTGTTGGCCATGAGCTGCAGGATCTGAATGAGGAACTTCCCCAGGCCTTTCCGCCGCACCTTGCTCTCCAACTGCACCTCGTAGCTAACAAAGAAAGCAGAGGCGTGCACAGGACAGTGCCAAGGAGAGGATCCCGCTCCAGAGGAGCCTGCTGTCCAGACCCAGAGAGGCTCGGTGGGTCTACCACCTGGTCTCCTCCCTCTCTACCCAAGTTAAGCCTCAGTTCCTACCAGTACAGGACTTCATCCCCGCACTCCACATCAAACCGGAAGTGAGAAAAGGCAACTGGGATGGAATTGTTTTCCCAAGCAATGAGGTACCAGGCTCGGTCATCAGTCATTTCCTCCCGTTTCTCTCGGTCCTTCCAGCCCCATTCACTTTGCTCATACCTGAGGAGTTGGGGCAATCAGGACAGGGGACCTTGGAAGAAAGCCACTGGGGTGCAGGGCTGCCCTCAGTGAGGCCATGCTTACATTGTCTGCATATTGGTTTTGGTGAGGTCAAAGGCCCAGTCCACAGTAGCTGGCTCCAATCCAGACACTCGCTTACATTCAATGGAGATATTCAACCTGAGAAGCGGACAGGGAGACATCGGGGCCAGGGTTCTCACCAGGAACTGCTGTTCCTCCTTTGATGTCTGCCAGGGAGGCATGCCACTCTCAGGCACCCTCCAGGAAAAGCCCAATTCTCCAGAGGCAGGACTAACAAGTCATCACAGGCCTAGTTCCCGCCTCACCTGGACAGTCTTTATCAGGCTTGCTCTGTCAGCTGCTCTCCTTGGCTGCTTCTCTCTCCCCTACCCGCCCAGTCTCTGCAGCTTCTAGTACTTACCAGAAACACTCTACTCCCCGGCTGTTTGTAAGCACCTGTCCGGCTAACTGCACCGCTGCTCCTCCTCTCACCAGGCTCATAGGACCAGGGCTTTAGCTAACTGCCATCCCTGCAGAACAGCTGGGTGACCTGGGCTTTCAAAAAGACTACAGCTCGATACCTCTCCCCCAGTGCAGTCCTACCTGCCTCTTCCTTGTGATACCCAATGGGGACTGACATGTGGAACGGGATAAAAACCACTACTATAGGCATTAAGGTCCTTCATTCCAATAAGATTGAAAGGAACCAGTCTGAAAACTCAAGATTTTAAGGAAAAAAAAATGGGGGGGAGTGGCTGGAGTAACGGCCTGCTGTTAAAGATCATTTGCGCCAGGCAGTGGTGGCGCACGTCTTTAATTCCAGCACTCAGGAGGCAGAGGCACATGAATTTCTTTGAGTTTGAGGCCAGCCTGGTCTACAAGAGTTAGTTCCCGGACAGGCTCCAAAAAAGCTACAGAAAAACCCTGTTTTGGGGAATGGAAAACAAACAAACAAACAAAAAAACCCACTTGCTGCTCTTCCAGTGAACTGAGTTTGGCACCCAGCACTCACATCAGGCCGTTCACTGGCTTGTAACTGGAGCTCGAGTCAATCGGATGCACCTGATCTCAGGACACTTGCATACACACAATTTAAAATGAAACCAATCGAGCCGGGCGGTGGTGGCACATGCCTTTAATCCCAGCACTCGGGAGGCAGAGGCAGGTGGATCTCTGTGAGTTCGAGGCCAGCCTGGTCTACAAGAGCTAGTTCCGGGACAGGCACCAAAGCTACAGAGAAACCCTGTCTCGAAAAAAACAAAAAATAAAAAAAATTTAAATAAATAAATAAATAAATAAAATGAACCCAATACTTACTGTTTAATTATTCTACACTGAGTATGGTGGGACACACCTTTAGTCCCAGCACTCGGGAGGCAGAGACAGTTCAAAATCAGCCTGGTCTACACAGTAAGATAGTTCCAGGCCAGCTAAGGCTATACAGTGAGACCCTGACTCGAAATACACAAAAAAAGGTGTGTGTGTGCGCGTGCGGTGTGTTGCATATGAGTGAAGACTCACACAGGTCAGAGGGCAGTCTTGGGAGACAGGTTTCTTCTTCTATCATGGCTGCCTGGAGATGAAGCACAGACGTCATGCCTGTGCTACCTACAGAACTACCTACAGAACTATCTCACCAGCCTTTTTGTTTGTTTGGAAATGGTTTCTCTGTGTAGCTCTGGCTGTCCTGGAACTTACTATGTATACCAGGCTGGCCTCAAAATCAAGCGATCAGCTTGTCTCTGTCTCCTGAGTACCCAGATTAAAGGAAGGCGCCATCACCCCCAGCTAGTTTTTTATTTTTATTTTGGACACAGGGTCTTACTATGTACCTCTGACTAACCTTGGACTCATGAGTTGTTTCAGCCTTCCAACTACTAAAGTGACATGGACTCCCGCCTAAAATTAAACCTTTAAAAATTCCCACATCAGGCTGGGCGGTGGTGGCACATGCCTTTAATCCCAGCCACTGGGGAGGCAGAGGCAGGTGGATCTCTGTGAGTTCGAGGCCAGCCTAGTCTATAAGAGCTAGCTCCAGGACAGGCTCCAAAGCTACAGAGAAACCCTGTCTCGAAAAACCAAAAAATAAATAAATAAATAAAAGAATTCCCATATCGCTGTGCGGTGGTAGCACATGCCTTTAACACTGGGGAGGGGCAGAGGCAGGGGGAATCTCTGTGAGTTCAAGACCAACCTGGTCTACAAGAGCTAGTTCCAGAACAGGCTCTAAAGCTATAGAGAAACTGTGTCTTGAAAAACAAACAACAATAACAAAAAGAACCAACACGTTAGAACCATTCAAATCCAGCTCTATACCTGTTAGCTAGAAAATACCCAAAGTCCAGCCTACAGTAATCTGCATTCCTTTATTCTTTTGGTCTTCTCCATAAAGCTCAGGCTAGCCTAGAATCAGTATGCAACCCTCAAACTCATGGAAAGCCCCCTGCATCAGCTTCTCAAGTGCTGTTGCAGGCATGCTGAAGGAGGATCAGAGCTACAGGAACCATATGAAAAGCAAAGCACTAAAGCCTGCTGGTGTGGTCTGCTTCAGAAGAGATCGATTTTTGGAAGTCAAGAGAAACATGGCACATGAAAACACTAAGAGAAGAATCACAGAAGAGATCCCTAAACCATGCAACAACGTCCCAGAAATGGAATAACAAAGCTGCTACAAGAACTGTCATATGTCAGATCCCAGATGGGAAGATGTAAGAGTAAGTGAATTGATTCCATGTCACCACATAGTTATAAAAAGTCACAGCAGGGGGGCTGGAGAGATGGCTCAGTGGTTAAGAGCATTGCCTGCTCTTCCAAAGGTCCTGAGTTCAATTCCCAGCAACCACATGGTGGCTCACAACCATCTGTAATGAGGTCTGGTGCCCTCTTCTGGCCTGCAGACATACACACGGACAGAATATTGTATACATAATAGATAAATAAATATTTAAAAAAAAAAAAGTCACAGCAGGGGCTGGAGAAATGGCTCAGAGGTTAAGGGCATTGCCTGTTCTTCCAAAGGTCCTGAGTTCAATTCCCAGCAACCACATCGTGGCTCACAACCATCTGTAATGAGGTCTGGTGCCCTCTTCTGGCCTGTAGGCATACACACAGACAGAATATTGTATACATAATAAATAAAATATTTTTTAAAAAAGTCACAGGCCTTTGGAATCTACACAGCAGTCCTTCTCCTTCTTGTCCACTTTCTACCTGGGTATTTGCTCATCTTCTCAGAACATCATTTAAGTTTCTAGCATCATCCTATTTGACAGGTAAGAAACCAAGGCTTAAGGTGTATGGGTGGCTTATTCCAGGAGCATAATGCAAAGTCCAGCCATTCTTCACCATCATAGAGAAACTGTAACCTTTGACTTTCCTGAAGCAAGCCAAAACAATACAAAAACATCACTCAGGAAGACAGAGGGGAAAGGCCTGCAACCTAGACCTGCGTGTCAGCTGGGACAGCAGTCACCAACAGCCTAATTACGTTCAACAGGCTCCACTGACCAGAGCTTTGGACCTAACCCTTCTAACTCCTAAAGAAGAAACCATTAGACCCCAATCTTTTTCCTTTTCCTTTCTTCCCTTTTGCTCTTTGGTCTGAGACAGTGTCTTACTCTAAGCCTAGGCTGGTCAAAAACTCACGATCCTTTTGTCTCTCTAAACCAAGTTTTTAGACCCATTTCTGATTATAAAACTAAGGCAAGATATACTATGTATACTCCAGGAAAAAAACAAAAACAACAAAAAAACAACAACACTTAATTGGGAATGAAAAGCTCCTTCAGATGGAAGGGCATACTCCAAAACGTCATTCAAACATTTGAACTTTCTGAGCCTCAATTTTCTAATCATAAAATGCAACAGTGGGCCAACAAGTTTCCAGGTTTCATCATATTCTTTTTTTGTTGGTTTTTCGAGACAGGGTTTCTCTGTGTAGCTCTGGCTGTCCTGGAACTAGCTCTTGTAGACCAGGCTGGCCTCAAACTCAGAGATCTGCCTGCCTCTGTCTCCCAAGTGCTGGGATTAAGGGCGTGCACCATCACAGCCTGGCTTTATCTGATTCTTTGAACACAGAAAATTATAAGTCCTAAAAAGGGCAATCAGAGGACTGGGAATGTGGCTCCTGCACAGAGTGGTCATCTAGGACACTTAAGGCTATGGGTTCAATTCTCAGTGCCAGGAAAACTCAAAAACTGATAATATCCTGTTGCTGGGCGGTGGTGGCGCACACCTTTAATCCCAGCACTTGGGAGGCAGAGGCAGGTGGATCTCTGTAAGGTTTTTTTTTTTTTTGTTTTGTTTTTTGTTTTTTTGTTTTTTGTTTTTCGAGACAGGGTTTCTCTGTAGTTTTGGAGCCTGTCCTGGAACTAGCTCTTGTAGACCAGGCTGGTCTCGAACTCACAGAGATCCGCCTGCCTCTGCCTCCCGAGTGCTGGGATTAAAGGCGTGTGCCACCACCGCCCGGCCTCTCTGTGAGTTTTGAGGCCAGCCTGGTCTACAAGAGCTAGTTCCAGGACAGGCTCCAAAGCTACAGAGAAACCCTGTCTGGGGGGGACTGGGACAGGCTATCAGTTATTAGTTATGCAACCTCAATCATACACAGTCTTTGTACACCTACCAACTCCTGCATCACCTTAACTGGGAAACTGTATCAATAGGAAGCACCAGCCAGTTGTTGCTTTTTCATAATGGAGAAAAACATGCAAGACTCTAGGGGAGTGGCCGCCCAAGAACCCCCAGGAGACAATCATTAGGAAAGCCAGCACAACTCACCCATTGCGGTCATATTTCTTGAAGACTGGGAACGCCTCCAGAGGGTCTCCAAGCTGTGGAGAGAAAGAGTACACAAAGATGAACGAAGACACTGGTAAGGTGTGGGACCATGTCAGCTTTACGTGGTGGGAGAGAATGGACACGACTGGCCTGTGGCATAATGCCTGACCCCGTGTAGGAATTCCAAGAAAGAGGTGACTGATCTGCGAGACTACTTCAGGAACAAGACTGCCAACTAACTACAGCCTGTCCATCACCCCGGATGGAAAGCACAGCCTTGAAGGGTATCCGTTCAGAAGCACAGCTGTTTACCATGATGGAGATTAATAAAAAGTGACGTAATGGGCTGGAGAGATGGCTCGGGGGTTAAGAGTACTTACTGCATTTCCAGAGGGCCTGAGTTCATTCCCTAACACCCATATAGGACGGCTTACAAATTCCCATAACACCAGCTCCAGGGGACTTTAAAGCCTCTGCCCACCCCCATGGACACCCACACTCACGTGCACACAACCCTCACCACACCCTTACAAAATCTGGAAAAAATGTGAAATATAGCATGAGACAGGAAGGCCACCAAGGCCAAGCCCTTAGGCTCGGCCTGAAAGCTCCCAGGCCCAAGAGCTGATTCACAGCTGCTGCTCCTGACTTCAGCCCCAGGGGCCAGGCCGCTGAAGCCTTGGGTAAAGCAGAGTTTACAGCACTCATGGGTAGGCAGTAACCTCTGAAAGAAGGAAGGGTTAAGAACACCATGTGCCATGTCTCATGAGAGAGGTTTCCTCACCCAAAAGCAAAGTAGCAGAAAATCTCCCCTATCAGGAAGTCCTCTTAACACTTTCCTCTGCACCTGAGCCAACTCTGCCTGGTACGATGCCACAGATCTGCCACTGGGTGGCGCCAAGAAGTCAAAAAAAAAAAGCTGAAGTTGAGGGAGGAATTGAAAAGGAGAGTCACCCTGTTGGCAGCATCCACTTTGGCACAGACAGCATCCATGGCCGCTCGCTCCTCCAACCGCTTCTGCTTCTTCTCCTTGGCTTTGCTCGACTTTCTCTGCAACAAAGAAAACACCACCACTAGAAGGACTGTGACTAGCACCCTCAGAGGAACCCAAGGGGCCTTGTACCATTCACCTGGCCCTACAACAGGAAACCTGAGTGTGTGGCCCAGTGAAGAACAGTGTTCGCTCATGGTCCTGAGGTCAAGGAGGAGAGGCAGGGCTCTTGAGGAAGAGCACTCCTCCAGCTGTGATGCTGGGAGTGCTGGCCATTGGGCAGCCTGCTGGCCCAGCATGGTGCATTTTCCTACAGAGGAAGCACTCACTTAGGGAAACGTTCTGGGATCTGAGGTGGCCCCAGACACTGTTCCTTTATGTTTTCTGACTCTGAGAGACACAGTCCCATGGAATCAGGATCATATGCACATGAAGGCCAAGGCACACTGGCTTCACGACACAGTACAGAGCCACTCCCAGAAGCTTTGCCCAGTGAAGGCCAACGAGTGGCAGGTACAGCATGCACCTGTTGATGACAAGGCTGGACTGAGAGCCTCATGGGTTCACCTCAGGGCAGGGGTGCCACATCATCAGCAAGACCAAGCTGCAGGGGCATGACAGCGTGGACAGGCAAAGGCAAGTTGTCCCTACCTGCATCTTGACCAGACCTTATCTGAAGACTAATGTGGGGCTCTCTCAAAAATACCTCCTCTACTGGGGAATGGGTGGTCTCAATACTGTAGCTCAGGCAGGCCTCTAACTCAACTGTCTAGGATTATAGGTGTGAACCATGTCCCCAGTTTCTCATCAAAGGTGCTTGTTCTGCTTGTTCCTCTTTCCCTGCCAGATCCTACAACAAAAGAGCCTCATGCTCTGGTGCTGTCGTGACTATGGCTACAGAAAGGTGCTCAATGACAGCCCGTATCTCCTGACTCCAGTCCTACCTCTCTACAGCTCACTGGAAGGTCAAAGAGCATCAATGCCAATGTGACCGTGGCACTGCCTGGCCCTAGGACACAGCACCGAACAATCCACATTTACATGAATTGAAAACCAGCTGCTAAACAGCTGGGTAAGTTCCAAAGCATAACCTCAGCCTGGATTTCTAAAGAACAACATTGCTTAACTCCTGCCTCAGCAACCAGAAGGTAAAAGAATTACACACAGGGCTGGAGAGATGGCTCAGAGGTTAAGAGCATTGCCTGCTCTTCCAAAGGTCCTGAGTTCAATTCCCAGCAACCACATGGTGGCTCACAACCATCTGTAATGAGGTCTGGTGCCCTCTTCTGGCCTGCAGGCATATACACAGACAGAATATTGTATACATAATAAATAAATAAATAAATATTTAAAAAAAAATTACACACAGAACCCACAAGATTCTTCTGACAGGCAAAATGCCAGCAGCATCTACTACTGCTAAGCACTATGCCAGGAACCAGGCTAGCTCCCATGTCTAACCTCCCCCAAGAAAGGCACATACAGAGACCAGAGCAGGATTTTGTCCCTGTGGTGCTGAGAATGGAACTCAGGGCCTTTGGCGTGCCAGGCCAGTGATCTAACATTTAGCTACATACCCGCAACCTGAGGCTGTCTTCACAGAGACACAAAAGGGAACAGAGTGGCCCCTCTCCCAGATAGGTTTTCAGCATTCATTTCTCCTCTGGGACAACACTGACATTGGGTAACAAAACACTTTCACAGAATACATGAGCCAAGGCTCAGAGTGGAAACCATCAATTACCTTTACACATGAAGAAACTGAGGCTCGCTGGGCAGTGGTGGCACACGCCTTTAATCCCAGCACTCAGGAGGCAGAAGCAGGTGGATCTGTAAGTTGAGGCCAGCCTGGTCTACAGAGTGAGTTCTAGGACAGCTAGGGCTGTTATACAGTAAAAGCCTGTCTCAAAAAAAAAAAAAAAAAAAAAAAGAAGAAGAAGAAGAAAAACACACACACACACAAACCGAAACTGAGGCTCAAGGGAGTATGACTCATGCACAGCTCCCCAGGCAGCAAAGCGGCCAAATGAAGATAACCTCAGGGGTCAGCCACAGATGCAGTGTTTGTGCAGCAGGTCGCCTGTCTCCCAGGGGCAGAAGCAGCTAGAATGCCACTCAGTCACCAAACAAAGACCTTCTCATACCCTGCAGAGATAAAGCTGGACGCCTCAAGTGCTCTCAGGCAACCACTCAGCAACTCCTTTCTTGATGCCTACCTACCTGGAAATCAGTTTTCACAGTGCCGCCCCATACCCGACCTCAGCCCTAAGGCAGAAGCAGGGAAAGGAAAATGACAGATCAAAGTCTCCACAGCGTCCCCATGGAGTATTAGGAGCACGAGCTTCCCATCAACCAGACCAGGCTGCGCCCCACCTACCACCCCTGAATGATCATTTGAATCTCCAGGGAGACTGGGGTACAACCCAGCTTCACCTTCACAGGAGATAGAAGCCCCCTTCTCCAGCCTGCCAAGCAGACAGTCAAATTGTTGGACTGTCAAATAAAGGCCAGGGCGGGAGGAAAGGTGCTGGAAGGCAAGCGTGACTGTCAGGCCCCCAAAAGCATGATTCCTGGGTTCCCTCCACAGCGTCACATTTCTGAACACAGTTCCGAAGACTTGTTACGCAGGTTGGTGAGCCAAGCAACCCCCAAACTGAGGCCCAAGGCTGCCACCACGGAGACTGAGATACTGAAAACAGCCCGTAAGCACTTGGCTGCCAGCACAGAGAGGGGTGGAGGCAGGCTGCAGCAGGCTAGGCCACACGGGCAGGGGCTCCCCCTCAACCCCAGCAAGCACCAGTTAGAGTGGTCTCCCACTGTTCCAATTAGCTTCACTGCAGCCTTGTGGAGGGAAGGCTGTCCTGCAGGGACGAGGGAAAACTTGGCTAATTAAAATGGGAAATAAGCACAGTGAACAGTAAAGCTCATTGTGGTTAAGTGTCTTTCCCAAGGGAGCTTTATATAATAAAAAGAGTGTGGGATTTTGAGTCAAGAGACCTGGATTTGATTCTCAGCTCTTTTACTTAATAGCTGTGACTTTAGCCCTGTTACTTAAAACCCTTTTGGCAAGTTACTCAATTTGTCAAAACCTCAGTTTCCTCAACCATAAAACGGGGCTGCTATAGAAATAAAATGGTACTATGCATTGGATAGAAATTCTCTTTGGCTATACCTGTGCTACTGCCCAACTTCATGCATGGCAAGGAACTGTATTACACTGAGCTATACACATCTCCAGCTGTAGACGGTCTGTGTACAGAAATTCACTAGTGTTGGTCACTCTGCTTGGTGCATTTTTTGGGGAGGTTGGGGGGATAGGGACAAGATCTCCTATAGCCCAGATTGATCCCTAACTTGCTATGTAGCTAAGGTTGACCTTGAATTCCTGTTCCTCCTACCTCCACTTCCTGAGTGCTAGAATTACCAGCTTCTGTCAGTTCATTCAGTTTATATGGCTAGGGATCAACCCAGTGCTTCATGCATGCTAGGCAGGCACTCTACAGAATAGCTAAAGATCCCTCACCCTCTGCCACTGCTTTTCTAAAGAGGACATGTTGGACAGCTCATCTGGGACTAACTCAAGCCATAGAGCCCGGAAGTTCTGAGATGTCTTAAACCTGCCTTGGACTGGGCTCCACCAGGCAAAACCAGTCAGGGGCGGATCTACTTTACTCACCAGTGTGTGCATCCAGTGCTCACGAACAGGACACCCAAGATTCACATTTAGGCTTGAGCCGTAAAGTATTCGTCCCTTCCATGATATCACATGTGGCTCATGTTAATGTTGTGTAAATACTGCTTTCAATGGGTAGCTGCACATCTGATCTCCCTTCAGTATTCCTGTTAAAGCAGTAACTCTACAGTTCTAAGAGATCCAGGAATCACAAAGAAAAATAGGAAAAACAAACAAAACACAAGTGGCTGCTTCCAGAAGAGATGTGACATCATCTAGATTCAGTGTCAATGCTTCTATTCCGCTGGTTTTGGCAACGGGAGAGAGATCTAATGTATAACTCAAACCCCATGAGTAGTAACTAGTACACAAGAACATAGGAGACGCGGGTGGTGGTGGCACACATCTTTAATCCCAGCACTCGGGAGACAAAAGCAGGAGGACCTGAATTTGAGGTTAGCCTGGTCTACAGAGTGCATACCAAGACAACCAAGATACACAGAGAAACCCTGTCTCTAAGGGGAAAAAATAATCTTGAAGAGGTGTTTCACTTGCTGCCCCTCTCACTCAGCCTGGGGTAAAGCAGGGTACTACCTCCTTGGAATGGGTGGGGACTACAACTTCCAGCGTGCAGTAGGGTGTGAGGGTGGGGCCTGATGAGCATAAGAAGAGTCCCTTTGGAGTCAGTGAAGGTAATTCAAGTCTCTGCATCTAGGCCAGGAGACACTCTGAAGGGGGCTGTTGTGAGAAGCATCTCCAAAGGAAGAGCAAACAGAGCGGGACCCAAAGGAAGCAAAGCCAGCAGCAAAGCCAGCAGCACATCTGGGCCTGCTACTTCAGGGCCCCAACGAGGACTAGAGCACCTGCGGCATGCTACCCTCCTTGCTGAGGGCTGTCTGCAATGGCTGGTCCTGGGCAGTTACGGAGTAATACTAGAAACCTGGACTTCATTTAGCTTGTTCAACAACAGCTGGGGCCTAGGATCACTTATTAAATCTAAGCTAAATATGCCAAGGTCTCTAAGCTCGATTTTCTTTATATTAGGTAAACAACAGTAAACTGCCTGAACTATGACAAATGCTTTGGGAGTTTTTGTTTTTTTTTTTGGATACTGGAGATTGAACTCAGGGCCTTACATATGCTAAGCATATACTCTACTACGGATCTATATAACCCAGATCCCCACCCAAGGTTTGTTTTGACATGGGTCCCCAAAAAGTTTTTTGACACAGACTAATTTTCTTCTAACAAGCTGATTTGTTTGTGGGGAAAAAAAAAAAAAAAAAAACTAGGTTAGCTGTCACTAACTGAGGACAAACCCAATGAGATAAAAACAGCCGGGCGGTGGTGGCGCACGCCTTTAATCCCAGCACTCGGGAGGCAGAGGCAGGTGGATCTCTGTGAGTTCGAGACCAGCCTGGTCTACAAGAGCTAGTTCCAGGACAGGCTCCAAAACCACAGAGAAACCCTGTCTCGAAAAAAAACAAAAAAACAAAAAAAAAAAAAAACAGCACCGATCCACTTATGATCCTTAAAGTGAGTTTGAGAACACAAGCAAAGTAGCAGCCACTGCTTCTACGGCACCTAGTGGGCTATTTACATCCATTACCTTGCTTAGTCTTCAGCACTATCCTAAGAGGGAGGTCATGTGCCTCACACAGATGAGAATAAAATTAAGAAAAGCCTCATCACTGGCAGGGTCAAGCTGCTAGCCATGAAGATGGGGCTGTCACTGAGTCATCTGGTTCCAAAGTCAGGACTCCCTAAAGGTGTTGCAAATCCCACACGAACCCTAATAAGCCATGCTCAGGAAGGGCCAGTTACATTTTTAGGAGGGTGAACTCAAACACAAGACACTGCTTTTTCCCAGTCCTAGATCTGCCATTCCAGGAACGGACAAGGAAAAGCATCTTTTTACTGCCAACGCTTAACAGGTGGTTACTATGCATCCTGCCTGGGGCCATCACCAGTGGCTCCATCCTCCCTGCTCATCAGCACAACCCCCCCTCCACCAAGTCACCCGCAGTGATGTGACTAAGAACAATCAAACCTCTGAGACCCACTTTCCTGCAGTCAGGGGCTGAACGGACAGGCCTCTGTGGGAAGAAGACTATATTTTATCAGGAGCAGGAGGAAGCTGGTAACGACTACCCAAAAGTATAGCGCAACAGACTGGGCTGAAGCTTGAGCAGCGGGAAGCAGATTGCACTGGGGCTCCGAAGGAGACGGGGGATGGGGTCCAGCGCCCAAGCCATTGTCAGTGTGACCTTGGCCGTGCGCCTACTCGCCTTCCTGCCTCAGTTTCCTACAAGTACGGGTTGCAGAAAACCGTTGGGACCGTGACAGGCAGATGATGGGTAACCTCAAGGAGCAAGGGACTAACCACAGAGACGGAACGGGGTTCGGGAGTGGGGAGGCACACCAGGAGGTCAGAAAGGCAGGAAGGGGCGCAAGGGGCGCGGAGCGCGGGGCGGGAGGGGGGCGGGAGAAGGGGACTCCAGGAGGATTCCTAGGCTAGGCTCAACCCGGGGACCCTTACAACAGGGGACTCCGGTCAAGTGGGGGTCGGGGGTCACGTGAGGCTGGAGGGGGTCAGGGTCACGTGAGGGGGATTCAAGAAACAATAAGGACGCGGAGGATGAAGAGCAGCTGTGTACTTCCCATTACTTCTCCAGCCTCACTTACCCCCATGGTTGCGGCAGCGGCGACCCTCGGCTGCTCCTTCTCGCTCTTGCCGGTAGGGAGGCGGCAACGGCAGCGGGCGAGCGACGGCGGAGCGGCGGGCCACGCACTGCGCGTGCGCCGCACCAATCCCCCGCGCGTCCTAGCGGGCCCCGCGCCGGCGCAGAACCGGATAGAGCCGGGCGGCGAGCGCGAAGGCGCGCAGGTGGAGCGGTCGCCGTGCGCGCGGAGGGCCTGAGAAAGGCGGGAGGCGCGGCGGAGCGTCGCGCTAGGAATGACGCGCACACGCCGGCCCCGCCCCTTCACCAGTGCGCGTCCGTAGCTATGGAAACAACCACGCGGTGCAGGAGAGCGCACAAGCTTGGAGCTGTTCGCCTCGGAGAGGCTCGGTGGGCGGTGGCGAGGGCCGCCTTGGCGGGCGCGCGGGCACAGCTAAGTCTTGGGAGGCGTTCCGGCCTTCTAGAAGCTGATCCTCGGCATTGCGTGCCTTTTCTAACCAGTCCTGCTATCCATCCTGCTCACATTTGTTCACACAGCATTAACGTGCACCTACACTGTGTTGAACCCAGGGGACATAGAAGTTACTGCAGTCTTAAACTTCGCTGTTTAGAGGGAAAACGGGCGTGCAACTACCGTGTAAGTGTTGTTTTAAAAGGCGGCTGTTAAAAGAAGACCTCAGGTGTCCTGGGTAGTATTCATTTCAGTCTGTGCAAACACCTGGGAGTGTGACCTCCGCATGACCTTGCATGGGAATCACCTGGGGAGACAGGGCAGTTTGTAAACCCCTGGGACTAACCCTGGAATCTAGGGAAGGCGCGAATCAGAGATTTGGCTTTCTTGTGATTTTTGTTTTATTTGGTTTGGGGTGTCCTCCTCCCCCGCACCGCCTGCCCATACTGAGAGGATCAAATCCAGGGCTAGGTGAGTTCTGTCACTGAGCTACAACCCCCACCCCAGAGTCTTCACTGATACACAAAAAATTAGAAAGCCAGCGCTCCAGACTTAATGGATTTTTCAGATTTTAATCATCCTACGTTTATTGCTCAGAGAAGCTGTAGTCCTGGCAAAATTCAGTGAGTGCCTACTGCACCGAAGGCACTGTTCTCAGGAGCAAAGAAAACAACGCCAAGGCAGGGGTGGTAGCTCACACCTGTAACCCCAGTACTAACGAGACAGGAAAACGGATCCCTGGAAGTTCTAGGTAGTATTGGTCTCTATAACAAGTTTCAAGCCTGCCAGAGCTACTTAGTGAAACTCTGTCCTCAGAAAGGAAAAAGTAAAACCTGGAGGAGAGAGGCAATTGAGGCTTCAGTCCACTTTCTGCCATTTGACTTTTCTCCTCACTTTCCTTCCGTTCCTGTCATAGTTTGTTCTTTCTATCCCAATAGAGCCATCATGTCCCTTATACCACCTTCCTCCCAGGCTCTGGAGTTTTCTTCCTTTTCTTTTTTGGTTTTTTGAGACGGGGTTTCTCTGTGGCTTTGGAGCCTGTCCTGGAACTAGCTCTGTAGACCAGGCTGGTCTCGAACTCACAGAGATCCGCCTGCCTCTGCCTCTAAGTGCTGGGATTAAAGGCATGCGCCACCATCTCCCAGCCTGGCCTTTTCATTTTTCAGGGCATCCTAGACCTCGGTCTGGTCAGAGGCTTAGAGTCAGACCAGACCAGTTTGGCTTTAAGCTCATTCCTTGCTGCTGACTGGCTTTTTTTTTTTTTTTTTTTTTTTTTTTTTGGTTTTTCGAGACAGGGTTTCTCTGTGGTTTTGGAGCCTGTCGTAGAACTAGCTCTTGTAGACCAGGCTGGTCTCGAACTCACAGAGATCCGCCTGCCTCTGCCTCCCAAGTGCTGGGATTAAAGGCGTGCGCCACCACTGCCCACCACCACTGCCCGGCGGTGACTGGTTTTGTTACTGAACACTTCTCATTTCTTTTTTGGATTTTTAAATTATGTATACAGTGTTCTGCCTGCATGTATGCCGGCAGGCCAGAAGAGGGTACCAGATCTCATTACAGATGGTTGTGAGCTATCATGTGGTTGCTGGGAATTGAACTCAGGACCTTTGGAAGAGCAGTCAGTGCTCTTAACCTCTGAGCCATCTCTCTAGATTCCCTCATTTCTCCCTCCCTCTGGCAGTTAACATCTCTAAGACTCAATTTCCTTACTTGTGAATAAGACCACTGAAAGCAGCCCTCTTCCAGGGGTGACTGTGACTTAAACAAGACAGCTGAAGGACCTGGCAAGGAAAGGTCCCTTCCTTGTCCCTGCAAACATCCTTCCGTTCTGAGGGTGCTTTCTATTAACACCTCACTAACCATTCCCCGAGGGTTACAGAAGCCCTTGTCTGTTCTCCTTCTGACTTCATAGACAGGGATATTAACCCCTAGTCTCACCCATGTCTGGAGTGTCTCTGGCAGCTCTTCCCATCTGTCCCCTGGATAATCTCTCTCTCTCTCTCAACACAGGATCTCTTGTAGTCCAAACTGGCCTCAATTTTGCTATAGAACTCAGGCTGGCTTTGAACCTTTAATCTTTCTTCCTCTACCTCTTGGGTGCTAGGACTTGAGGGTGAACCAGCACACCTTAAGTCCTTCCCCTTTTCTTCCCTTTCCTCTAATGCAGCCAACTCCTCCAAACACCTACAGCCCTCCTTAGACACTCAGTCTCCTGCTTAGTGTTGTTTTTAAGTTCCAGGAACTAGGGAGGAAAGGCTGTGTGTGTGTGTGTGTGTGTCTGTCTCAAAAAGCAAAGAGTTAAAAGTAAAAATAAACGAAATAGAGGTTAAAACAAAGCTGTACAAAGATGGAAAATACACAAAGAATCTTGATACTGTATGCTATTATGCTCTCTTTGAATTATTTGAATGCTGAGGAAGGAGCAACAGCTGCTAAAAGATATTTATTTATAAATACTGCTGAACTAATCCAACATAGATATTATGAATTTGGATCTAAGGATATGATACTTTGGAAAGGAGTTTCTTATTTTGTTTTCACAGAGGATGAGACGCTGTTCATTTCTTCTACTCCGATTTGGTATGATGGACCACGCCCTCCTGAAGGGTTGGTGTGAACACCTTCAGAAAATTGCTTCGCTCAACTGCCAACTGAGATGAAACTAGCACACAGGTTATACCATGAAAGACCTAATTAACGACGCCCCCATTCAGCAGGAAGCAGTTTGGAGAGAAAAAACTGCGCCCATGTTCCCAAATATGGTTTATAAACGTTCTTTTACATTTAAAGGGGGATATGATATAGATATGAATAATTTGCATTAGTATAGATTTTGCTTTATTGATAGAGATTTAAGGTCAATTTTGTTATATGTATAAGTGTTTCTGATTTTGATTAAGGTATTGTGATTGTGTAGTTCATTTAAATATGTACTGTATAATTAAGAAATATAGGTTGTTAATGGATAATCATCGATAATAGTAAAGCTTGTAGTCATGTTAGTTAGATTTTCCAGATATATAGAGATATATTTTAGATAGACATTCTTCATGTCTTTCAAAGATTACAGAATAGGACATTTAATGTTTTAATAACTGAGGACTTTTCATGACAATGAGACACTCTGCTCCTGGCAGCACCAATGTACTTCAAGAGGAAGATGGGCATCGAAGAGGCTCGTTATGGAGTGTGATAGCCATTTGGGCAAGAAACTGCTCTTGCCTGGACTACTGCATAAACTGGACACAGAGAACCCGCAGAGAGAGGACTACTGAACTTGCCTAAGGTGAGATGATCTTTCAGGGTTCCTGATTCATGAAAGAGTCTGTGAGACATTCTGCAGGACACAACAGATAGTGACTGAACTGACTTTGAATTTTCCTGTTTTATGGAAATGTCTGCTGGATACCATGGGCCTGAAGGCTGAAGATGGATGCCCCAACGGTACAGAGGAACTTTGGGTGACTGTCCAGGCAGTGAGATGTCTCTGTCATTTCTAGAGTTTTAAAAGTTGCTTTTTTCTTGTTTGCTTAGGTAGTATTGTATCTTTCTGGAGTCTTTGATGGAATTAAGAATAGTTAGTTATAGTTATTGTTTTCCTTAGTTATGATAAAGATTATTGTAACTTTTACTTGATAACTGTTTTGTTATATGTAAATTTGCTATGTTAAAGTTAAAGCCTTTTTTTTTGTTTAAACCGAAAAAGGGGAAATGATGGAGGAAGGTCATTGGCTAATAAAGGAACTGCCCTGGCCCATTTTATTGGTTAGAGGATAGGTGGGAGGAGTAAACAGAACAAAATGCTGGGAGGAAGAGGAAGTGAGCTCAGAGTCTCGACAGCTCTCTCGGGAGCAGACGCCTCAGGGAGATGCCATGCTCCCAACTCCCAGGCAGATGCATGAAGCTCCGACCCAGGATGGACTAGGCTAGAATCTCCCCGGTAAGCGCACCTTGGGGTGCTACACACAGATGATTAGAAATGGGCTAAATTAATATGTGAGAATTAGCCTAGAAGAGGATGGGCCAAGGAGTGATTAAATGAATACAGTTTGTGTGTTGTTATTTCGGGGCATAAGCTAAGCTAGCCGGGCAGGCGGCTGGGGTGTTGGGGACGCAGCCCCGCCGCCGCCCTTATTACTTCAGTACATTGTATGTGTCTGTGCATTGTATGTGTCTGTGCCTCTGTGTGTGTGACAGGACCCCCTCCCCCTGGAGAGGTATGGTATGGAAGGAGAGTCATGTATAGCTATCAGGTGAGAGTCCCCCAAGTTCCCAGGGAGAATTCTATTTTAGCTTCCTCACCTCTATACCCTGGGCTTCATCCCTGAACATACTAGGATTCCTTCCCTAGTTTTCAGCTCTGCTCCTCCCTGCCTCTTGCTTGCCCTAGGGCCTCCCCTCTACAAGTTGTTTCAGAAAAGTCACTCTCCTTTCTGTTTGCATCCCACCCACTCCCGGGACAGGCTGGACCGCTAGGCTCCTGGCTCCCCCGGCCTCGTGCCCACATTGAGTTTAATCAGCTGTGCTGAATGCTCTGAGCATTCCAGCCCTCTCCACAGCATCTACTCTTCTCTTTCTCTCCTTCACTTGGGTAACACAGCACACCCCTGTTTTTGTGAGGCTCAATTAAAAGCCTGTTAGGGAGGCTGCCTGTTCATGCCTCTAATCCCAGACCTGAGGAAGCTGAGGCAAGAGAATGGTGAATTCCAGCACTAAGGTGCACAATGATGTCTTGTCTCTCAAATTTAGTCTTCATATCACAGATCAGCAAC